GGTGAAACCCCGTCTCTACTGAAAATACAAAAAATTAGCCGGCGTGGTGGCGGGCAGCTGTAGTCCCAGCTACTCAGGAGGCTGAGGCAGGAGAATGGCATGAACCCAGGAGGCGGAGGTTGCAGTGAGCCAAGATCGCGCCACTGCACTCCAACCTGGGCGACAGAGCGAGACTCCGTCTCAAAAAAAAAAAAAAAAAAAAAAAAAAAAATTTAAGTCAAACCATTGTAAGTCAGGGACCGTCGGTATCTGCTGTCTGCAAGTATATGTTCCTTCAAACATAATGACACAAGTAGGCTGAAAGTTAAATGATAAAAGGTAATATATCATGCAAACACTGATTTTAAGAATGCAGTACTGAGTATGTTAATATCAGATAAAGTAAGTTCAGAGAAAGAAAATTACTAGGGACAAAGAGGGACATTATATAATAATAAAGAGATCTCATGTCTATACTCTCAGCACTTTGGGAGGCCAGTGTGGGCAGATCACTTGAGCCCAGGAGTTCGAGACCAGCCTTGGCAATATGATGAAACCCCATCTCTACTAACAAAAAACACAAAAATGAGCTGGGCACGGTGGTGCATGCCTGTAGTCCCAGCCACTCAGGAGACTGAGGTGGGAGGATTGCTTGAGCCTAGGAGGTGGAAGTTGCAGTGAACAGAGATCACACCGCTGGGAACTTCAGCTTGGGTGACAGAGTGAGACCCTGTCTCAAAAAAAAAAAAAAAAAAAAAAAAAAAATCAATAACTCAATCCACCAAAAATATACATCAGTCTTTAATGTGTATGTGCCAAACACCAGAGGTTCGAAATATATGAAGCAAAAACAGAGTTAAAAACAGAAATAGACAAATCCACAATTACAGTTGGGGATTTCAACACCCACCCTTAGCAACTGATAGAACTACTAGATAGAAAATCATCAGGATGTAGAAGAACTGAACACCATCAACCAACGGGACCTAACTGATATTTATAGAACACTTCGCCCATTAACAGCACAATACACATTCTTTTCAAATGTCCATAAAATATTCACCTTGATAAAAAAAAACAAAACACCTTAACAAGTTTAAAAGAATTGAAATGATGAAGTATGTTCTCTGGACATAATGGGATCAAATTAAAAATTAATAACAGAAAGATAACCAGAAAATCTCCAAACCTTTGAAACTATAACTAATATAACCTGAGCAGTTAATGGGCTGGATCATGAAAAGCCTTGTATACTCTATTTAAAGCTCCAGCCCATTATGCAAGAATGGCAAATCACTGAAGCCATTAAGCTAGAAAGTAATATGGGCATATTTTTGCATTAGTAATACAAGTTATAAATCACAAATGCCTGAAATATGGGCAGTAGCTCATATAGAGATTGAGACATAAGCCTCGTAGCTTTTAGACCATAGCCTGGGCAACAGAGTGACTCTGTCTTAAAAAAAAAAAAAGAAAGAAAAAAGAAAAGATATGTAGGGAGGGGGATAGGAGGAAAGAGAAGGAATGAAGTAAAAGATGACCTCAGGTTTCTACCCTGGGTGTCTAGAAGAATGGTTGTTAGTTAATAATGAATTTGTATTTAGACATGTTGTTTTTTTAAAGCTTTTTATTTTGAGATAACTGTAGATTCACATGCATGTAGGAAATAATACAGAGAGATCCTGTAAACTCCTTACCAGATTCCCCCAGTGGTAGCATATTGCAAAACTATATGGTACAGTATCACAACAAGGATATTGACATTGATACAGTCAAGATATAGAACAGTTTCATCACTGATATATTGGATGTCATCAAAAGACCTTGAGGATGAAAAGACAAATTATAGACTGGGAGAAAAATACATGCAAAGTGCATAGCAGGCAAAGGACTTATATCTAGAATATGTAAATAACTTTCAAAATTTGCTATTTAAAAAATCAGGCCAGGTGTGGTGGCTCATGCCTGTAATCCCAGCACTTTGGGAGGCCGAGGCAGGTGGATCACCTGAGGTCAGGAATTTGAGACCAGCCTGGCCAACATGGTGAAACCCTATCTCTACCAAAAACATAAAAATTAGCCGGGCTTGGTGGTACATGCTTGTAATCCCAGCTACTCAGGAGGCTGAGGCAGGACAATTGCTTGAACCCGGGAGGCGGAGGTTGCAGTGAGCCAAGATCGTGCCACTGCACTCCAGCCTAGGTGACAGAGCGAGACTCTGTCTCGAAAAAAATAAATAAATAAAAAATAAAAAAAAATTTAAAAATCAGATTAGGAAATGAGCAAAAGACATGCACAGACATTTCACTGAAGAGGATATACAGATGAGATTTCACTACACACATATCAGAATGGCTAAAGTAAAAAAAGTGATAACATCAAATGTTGATGAGGATGTGGAGAAACTGGATCACTCATCCATTGTTGGTGGGAATATAAAATGGTATCATAGCTGCTCTGGAAAATTGTTTTGTAGTTCCTTTTAAAACTAAAATTGGACTTGCCATACAACCCAGCAATTGTACTCTTGGGCATTTATTCCAGAGAAAATATATTTTTGTGCAGAAACTTGCACACAAATGTTCACAGCAGTTTCACATATAATATTCAGGCCGGGCACAGTGGTTCACGCCTGTAATTCCAGCACTTTAGGAGGCTGAGACAGGTGGATCACGAGGTCAGGAGTTCAAGACCAGCCTGTCAAATATGGTGACACCCCTTCTCTACTAAAAATACAAAAATTAGCCAGGTGTGGTGGCACGTGCCTGTAGTCCCAGCTACTTGGGAGGCTGAGACAGGAGAATTGCTTCAGCCTGGGTGGTGGAGGTTGCAGTGAGCCGAGATCGCACCACTGTACTCCAGCCTGGGCGACAGAACGAGACTCCATCTCAAAATAATAATAATAATAATAATAATAATAATAATGATGTTTGAAAATCTAGAAACTACCCAATGTCCTTTGATGGATGTGTGGTTAAATAAATTGTAGTACGTCCATACCATGGAAAACTACTCAGCAATAAAAAGGCACACACAACTTGGATGAACATCCAGGAAATTATCCTGAGTGAAAAAAGCCAGTCTCAAAAGGATGGACATATACTGCATGATGCCATTTATGTAATACCATGAACTAACAGAGAGGTGGAAAACAGATTCTGATTGCCAAGAGTTAGGCTTGAGGGTCTGAGGTGACTGTGGCTAAAGGGTAGCACAAGAGTGTCTTTTGATAATAGTGCTTTTAAGTATCTCAAATGTGGTTGTGGTTACACAAAGCTATACATGTGAGAAAAACTGCATAGAGCTATACACATATGTACAAAAATGAGTGCATGTATAACTGATGAAGCCTGCGTAGGTTCTGTGCATCATCCCAATGTCAGTTTCCTGGTTTTGATATTGTACACCAGTTATGCAAGATGCTAACATTGGTGGAGACTGGGTGAAGGTTGCAGGAGGCCTCCCTGTTCCTTTATTTTCAACTACCTGTGAATTTTCATTATTTCAAAATAGAAAGTTTAAAAAGTCAGTGCGATGGTTAATTTTAGGTGCCAACTTGACTGAATAGAAAGCTGGTAAAGCATTATTTCTGGGTGTGTCTGTGAGAGTGTTTCCAGGGGAGATTAGCATGTAAGTCTGAGTGAACTATGTGGGAAGATCCACTCTCAATGTGGAGAGGCATCAGTCAACTTGCTGTGGGTTCAGAGAGAACAAAAACAGACAAGAGGTGAATATGTCAATCTATCTGCTGGAACTAGAATACACTCTTCCGCTCCTGTCCTGGGACAACAACTCCAGGCTCCTTGGCCTTTGGACTCCAAGACACATACCGGTACCCTTGTCCCCCCTGGTGGGTTCTCAGGCCTTTGACCTTGAACTGAGAGTTACACCACCTTCTTCTTGGTTCTGAGGCTTTCCGGCTTGGACCAAGCCTTGCTACCAGCATCCCAGTGAGGTGGGAGGCAGAACTTGACTCCAGAGGCGGGGCTTGGACACAGGATCCAATTGAGGACTAGCTAAAACAGGGAAGGGGTGGAAGCAACTTTCCATAAGACACTCCCATTAGTGTGTCCATGTCAGTTTACCATTACCATGGCAACACCTAGGAGTTGCCACCTCTTTCCACGGCAATGATCTAAGGACCCAAAAATTACTACCCCTTCCTATAGGCCGGACACGGTGGCTCACGCCTGTAATCCCAGCACTTTGGGAGGCCGAGGGGGGGGGGGTGGATCACCTGAGGTCAGGAGTTCGAGACCAGCCTGACCAATATGGTGAAACCCCATCTCGACTAAAAATACAAAAATTAGCTGGGTGTGGTGGCGTGTGATTGTAGTTCCAGCTACTTGGGAGGCTGAGGCAGGAAAATCGCTTGAAGCCGGGAGGTGGAGGTTGCAGTGAGCTGAGATCGTGCCATTGCACTCCAGCCTAGGCGACAGAGTGAGTCTCCATCTCAAAAAAACAAACAAACAAACAAAAACTACCCTTTTCCTAGAATTTCTGCACAAACTGCCCCTTAATCTACATGTAATTAAAAGTAAGTATAACTATGACTGCAAAGCTCTCTGCCTATGGGGTAGCCCTGTTCTGCAGGAGCAGTCATGGAGCTGTAACACTGCTGCTTCAATAAAACTGTCTTCTTCTACCCTACCACTGGTTCACCCCTAAATTCTTTCTTGGGTGAAGCCAAGAACCCTTGCAGGCTAAGTCCCACTTTGGGGGTTATCTGCCCTGCTGCATCAGGGTCTGCAGCTTGCAGATGGCCTCTGGTGGGATTTCTTCAGCTTCCATGATCTTGTGAGCCAATTCCCCAAATAAATCCTCTCTCTGTCTCTCTCTCTCTCTCCCTCTCCTATTGAGTCTGTCTCTTTGGAAAATGCTGACTAATATAATTGGGCTAAAAACTAGCACGACCAGTCATAGCAGGCCTGCAACATTGTCACACCATATGTTTTGAGACATTTTCACTGCTGCTGCTCCCTATAAATGAACAGAGTCCATGGAAACTTCAATGAGGCATTCTTTTCCAATTGTGTATATTCACAGAGGAACTAACGGCACTTGTTCCTTGTGTTTTCTGAACCTTGATGTTGTCATGTGATTTTGTTTTCCATTTTGACAGTGCTGTACTTGTGGCTGGATGATCTCACCCCAGCTTTTCTTCTTCCGTGGGATGGTGATGATGGTGTATGTTTTAAAGAGTTCTCTGATTTCTCTCTCTCTTTCTCTCGTTAAAACTTCTTTTCATAGCCCCAAATAAAAATGCTCATTGCATCTTTCCTTCTGCCTGCCCCATTTTGGAATGAGAACGTAAAGCCTTTGGGTCCCCTAAATGTAACTTACACATTTTATGTTCCAAGCTTTATTGAAGCGTCTGAAGATTGAGCATTCAGCCACTCAGGAGTGTCTTACGATTCTAAGCAGCCAGGAAATCCCAGGGCCTTCTCTTGTACCTTTTCCATGGTGAATAACCTTGTATTCAGTGGAGAAGAGAGGAGACACATCAATTACACAGAACTATTCTTTGGAACACCTGAGTGTCCATTTAGTCATTACTAATAATGTTAAATAATACAAAATGACAACATGCAGGTACTTTTGAATACTGAGAGACCTGGAATGTAACTTTGGCACAACTTCAAAGCCACAAGTGCTCCAGTTTATGTCTTATTGGAACAAATCACTTCCCCTTAGACTCCCACAAAGCCTCAAAGATGATGACAAAAAGCAATATCATTTCCTTCTTGTATGGAGAGAAGAAATAAAGTCAGAGAGCCCCATGTTTCCTGAATGGATGACTAGTCAATATTATATGAGAAGAGCAAAATCCGTCTCCTTAACTGGGCCCCTCATTCGCCATTTATGGGGTTCTCAGTGCTTTGGTATCAGCTCTGGTCACAATGTTTGATAGTGAGAGAGACATACCTATTCATTTTGGGAGAGAAGATATCTCGTAGTATTTCTGATATAGCGCCTTGAATTCTTGAAGGAAAAAAATTGGTTTATGTCAATGCCAGGGCATTGGTGCTATTACTGAAGTTCTAAATCCTAGGGATGACTTAGAAAAGATTTAAAGACCAAAGTCAGTAAGTGGAGGTTTTTTAAAACACCACAGATGGCTTCCCCTCCCCTGACCTTTTTAAGGGTCATTCCCAAATGAAGCAAACCAACCACATACTGACTGATTCTTATACCCTAATCCCTGTACATTCAGCCTTTCTTAATGAATTAAGGGATGAGGGAAGATGCTACTAGATTATTTTTCTGGAACTGACACGTAATTGTTATGTTATGAAACTGATACATAATAGCTTTGTTACCAAGATGTTTTAGCTGTTTGTTTGATGGTTTGTGCCTGTTAGTTTTGTTTGCTTTGGATGGTTTTTCCTTTAATGATTGTTACATTTCAGGTGATCTGACTCTAGCTGTTTAGGGATCTTTCTGAGACTCTCTCTAGGCTGAACAGGGACAAACTCTTGTGTGTGTCTGGGAGTATAACATAAGTGCCCACGTGCCTGCCAGTCTATCTCAGATGCCCTGCGGTCATAGTGGGGTTTGCGATCAACAAGCCTCTTCAGAATGCCCTGGTTTTCCATGGTGATTCTCACTAGCTCGCGGTTCCTCGTTTCTCTGTTTAAGCTGAAAAACACAAAACCCCGAGATGGGTGAAGAAGAAAATGCTCATCTTAACAAGTGGGGGAGATGAAGTCATGAGATCATAAATGCCAGGCTGTCTAAGTGCAGGGAGTAACCTGTCCTGCTGAGCCCACAGGCCACTGGGGCAGCCTGTTGATCCGCACTGCACTCTGGGAAATGTACACAGCATTTGGAGGTTTATATCAGTGGTCCCCAACCCTGTTGCCCATGAGAAGATTCAACTTCATTGATCTGAGGTGAACCACGCACACTGGCATTTTGTTAAAATTCCCCAAGGATTATAATGTAAAACCAGGATTGAGAACTTCTGGTTGGGGGAAGGTCTCCCTGTGGATAAATCCCTGGCGACAAGTTTTGGGTCACCTCGCTCCTCTCAGCTTTCAACTTATACCAGAATATAGCAGGATATAGGAATGGCATCTTGACCATCTCCTCCCCCTACACCAAATTCTTTCTCTTGCATGTGCTTTTTTTGTATCCTAATCACACTGCATTGTCATTATTTCCATAAATATCTCCCCTACAAGACCTTGAGTTCTTTGAGGTTAGGAAATATACATCTCATTTCATCTCTGTTATTCCTGGTGCCTAGCACATAGTAGTTGCTTAGGAAAGATTTCTGGAACCAATTTTAAGAATATCACATCATAGCCCCAGCCATGGTGCTATGGTCCAGATGTCTGTGTCCCCAAAATTCTTATGTTCAAATCCTAACCACTAAGGTGATGGTTAGGGGGTGCGCCTTTGAGAGATGATTAGGTCACCCTAATGGAATTAGTGTCCTTATGAAAGACGCCTGAGAGAAACCCCTTGCTCCTTCTGCCACATGAGGTTACAGTGAAAAGATGGCTGTCTGTGAAGCAGGCCCTCATCAGATGCCGAATTTACTGGCACCTTGATCTTTGGACTTCCTTGCCTCTAGAACTATGAGAAATAAATTTTTGTTGTTTATAAGCCACCAGTTTATACCATTTTGCTATAACACCCTATAATGGACTAAGACACATGGCCACCATCTTATAAAAGTGGGCAGTGCATTCTTGTGACAAACTGAATAGGACTCTGAAAAGTCTCTTAGATGAAATAAAAGCTCTTTAATGCTGGAGAAAGGTCCCCATTTTTAAAGTTTTCATTCTGTGTAACATGGTCTGTTTGGTTCTCCCTCAAGATAACTTTCCTTACGTACTCCTGTGGCTTGGGAAAAGCTCACACTAAAACCCAAGAGGAAAGTCAATTTTGACTTTTCAAAACTGAAATGAAGACAAAGAACATTACCTCTTGGAAAAATATTCATTCCAGCAATCCACCTTGGCAGGGCCACGATGGGCATTTGCAATTTTCTGACACAGTTGCTTGTTTTCATACTCGATTTTGTTGATTTTCTTTTGTTCACCCTGGTAAGAAACCACACCTCACCGTGGTGACACCATCAGTACACTGCTCCCACACACAATGACTTAGTGTCCCCCTCCTCTGAGATCATGGGAAAGGGGTGCATTGAGGGCCACAGGGGAGACTGGGAGCAGAACTTAAAAGACTGGGACGCTGGGCGCGGTGGCTCACTCCTGTAATCCCAGCACTTTGGGAGGCCGAGGCAGGCGGATCACGAGGTCAGAAGACTAAGACCATCCTGGCCAACATGGTGAAACCCTGTCTCCACTAAAAATACGAAAAATTAGCTGGGTATGGTGGCATGCGCCTGTAATCCCAGCTACTCGGGAGGCTGAGGCAGGAGAAACGCTGGAATCTGGGAGGCGAAGGTTACAGTGAGCTGAAATCATGCCTCTGCACTCCAGACTGGGCGACAGAGTGAGACTCCGCCTGGGGGGTGGGGCGGGAAAGACTAGGGGTGACGTGTGTGGGAAGGAGTGTTAACAAATCTTTGAGTAGATGGGTATTTAGAAGGCTCTGAGAAATTGAACCTCTTTAGGAAATGGACTGGAAGTCCATAAAATACATCTGCACATCTGCAAGCAGCGAGAACAAATACCTGTAGTTTGCTCAATTTTAGAATGTGATGTGTGTGCGCCACTGGAGGTTTGGTATCAACAGTAGGCTTCACTAGAGAAGGGGGATAAAAGGGAACAATGTTACATCACAGGAATTCCAGTAGCGGCCTCAGAAAACCAGCACTAGACAGTGTCCTTGACTAATGAACACTTTTGAATTAGGACCTTAATGCGACTCAGGAAGTTTGGTTTGGTTTAATTTATCAAATGGACATCTCTGGAGACTTTTGAGCAGAAACAAAAGAATAGTGAAAGTAAAATTTACAGAGATAAATATCCTTTTAATCCAATGAAAAAGCCTCTCTTCCAATCCTTTTCCAATATTTTTAGCCTGTCTATTGGCTTCTGAAGTCCTATCCTCTTTCTAATGTACTTTGGCTTTAAAGAGTTGAAGGGAGTATTTCCATCCAGTGAACTCCCTTGTGGAAGATACATTTTGTTATTGGTGCTAATGCCCTCTTGCCCAAATTCAGCAGATAAGGCCATATCATCCCAAAGCTGTGACCTGGTCTGGTTTACTGTCGATCTCTTTATGGGTTACCATTCCCAAATCCCTGATAGCGGTGTCCAGCCCAAAGTGCCCACATACCTATTTGTATTCTATTCTTGTGAGATATGTAGTGGCCAAAGTCCAGTTTCTTTCTGAAGGTTGTGCTTTGCCTGTGATTAGAGACGATAACAGGGTAGGCCAGATAATCCAGGGAATTGTTCATCTTCTCTTCCTAGTCTCACTTCAGAAATGAGGTACCCAGGCTCCTCTGTGAGGTGCCTAGCTGTCCCCATGACAAGCTGTCATAGTTACCCAGTTATGACATCAGGGACAGGTCCCGGGAAGGGAGTAGGAGCAGCGGAGCATGGCTGGCTGCCTCTGGGCTTGTGTTTTTAATGCTAACCTAGGCTCAAGTCAAGGAACTCGAAAGCGTTCTCCCCTGCTTAGAATGCAGATGCTACCAGCCAACACCAGAAGGAAAGGAGTGGTGTGCTGGGAGGGGTGGCCAGGGATGGGGTGGGGTGAGGGGTACAGAAATTCCAGCCTTGGTTACACATCTTGGGCTATCAGCTAAGTAGTCTCCACTGCAATAGCTTGCCTGAAGGTGCAAGACCACAAGTTTTGGGGGAGGAGAAAGTTGACCCTAATGATAATCTGATCCAATTCCTTTTGCAAATGAGGAAACTGAAGACCACAGCAGCAGCAATGTTACTCAAGAACCAAATTAGGCCGGGCGCGGTGGCTCAAGCCTGTAATCCCAGCACTTTGGGAGGCCGAGACGGGTGGATCACAAGGTCAGGAGATCGAGACCATCCTGGCTAACACAGTGAAACCCCGTCTCTACTAAAAAATACAAAAAACTAGCCGGGCGAGCTGGCGGGCGCCTGTGGTCCCAGCTACTCGGGAGGCTGAGGCAGGAGAATGGCGTGAACCCGGGAGGCGGAGCTTGCAGTGAGCTGAGATCAGGCCACTGCACTCCAGCCTGGGCGACAGAGCGAGACTCCGTCTCAAAAAAAAAAAAAAAAAAAAAAAAAAAGAACCAAATTAGTGGCAGGGCTGGGCTCAGGATGTGGGGTTCCTGAATTCAAGGCCAAATTTGCTCTTTGCAGGAAGGGAACTGCCAGTCTTTCATGGCAGTAGGGGAGGGCGGCTTTCCTCCAGTACAGACTATCTTTTGTACTTAGTGGGAGTTCAGGAAATGCTGAGTGGCTTATGGTGGGCTGGCATCTGCTCCAGGAAGGGCTGCAGGAGTCTGATTGATCTCCACCCCAGCACAGGGTGTAGCACCCACTGGGTGCTCAACGCATTTGTTGATGAAGGACCAACACTTTTATTGAGTGCTCGCCCTGCAGTGCTGGGTGCCTTCCTTGAATGTCACATTTAACTCTTCCAGCAATCACCTGGGCGCTTGATTCTGTCAAGCGCCCGGGTGATGCCTCCACAGCAGGGAGCCGCTCACGAGCCGAACCCCGCGGTCCCTGTAATCCTGAAAGACTGAAGGAACCTCTAGGTGTACCCCCGCCACAGAAACGTTTATTGGGCCCTGCATTTAATTCAGGGAAGGAAGTTACCGCGCTTCCCAGTTTACAAAGATACACAAACGGCCTGGACCGGGATGGGGCGAGGATTCCCGAGACTCGAGGGCGGTGGCGTCTCCCCCCGGGGACGCGCCCAGGAGTGGCGCGCTGGGCCCCCGCGTCACGGCGCCCGCGCTCCTCAGCTCCCGGAGCCCTGCGGGCCCGCCCCTGGGGCGGGACTGGGCGGCTCCCGGAGCGAGCCCCCGCCCAGCTGACCCGCCGCTCTCCGCCTCGCTTGCTCCTGCCGGGCGTGCTGGGCCCCGCCGCCGCCATGTCCGGCTCGTTCGAGCTCTCGGTGCAGGATCTCAACGACCTGCTCTCGGACGGCAGCGGCTGCTACAGCCTCCCGAGCCAACCCTGCAACGAGGTCACCCCGCGGATCTACGTGGGCAACGCGTGAGTCCCCCCAGTGAGCCCGGCCCCGCCGTCCCTCTCGGGACGCCCCGCCCACTCGAGGCCGGGGTCGGGGTGTCGCGAGTCTTGGGTTGGGGGAGCCCGGGCGCGATCGCCCCTCCGGGAGCCACAGCGGGGGCTTGGGAGGTGGCTGGAGTCGACGCCTACCCCAGCGCGTGGGGCCAAGGAACTGGAACCCTGCCTGGCCGGGCGCGGCCATTCCCCGTCGCGGGGTGCACGGAGCCCGGGGGGCGCCTGCCTGGGTCCTCAGCCGCCACCCCCTTGGGGCTTGGCCTTGGGCGGGGTCGGGGCTACCATGTTCACTTAACAGGTGGCCCTCGGTCGCCCGGCCGGTCTCCTGCCAGCGCGTCATGTGACAGCTGCCTGGTTCTGCAGTGAGGTCACCGCGGAATGTCTGCCTTCGCCGCCATGGCAACGGGCCGACGTCACAATTCGGGCATGGAATTTTCCTGGCCCGGCAGTCCCGGATCAGGGAACCTAAACACCCCAAACGAGCGAGTCCGGGGAGCTGGGCCGGGATTTCCAGGCCCCCACCTTCCAGATGTGGTTTGATTTACAGGAGATTCTAGAACGGTCCACTGATAATCCCCCTAAGGACCTGAGCCACTACCTAGAAAAGGCTCTTGACCTTTCACTCCCAGGCTCTGTCACCCTGGCTGGAGGGCGCGATCTCGGCTCACTGCAACCTCTGCCTCCTGGGTTCAAGCAATTCTCCTGCCTCAGCCTCCCGAGTAGCTGGGATTACAGGTGCCCACCACCATGCCTGGCTAATTTTTGTATTTTTAGTAGAGACGGGGTTTTGCCATATTGGTCAGGCTGGTCTCTTGGCCAGGCTGGTCTCAAACTCCTGCCCGCGTCGGCCTCCAAAAGTGCTGGGATTACAGGCGTTAGCCACTGCGCCTGGCCAGTAAGAATTTTTTTTTAAATTTAAATTTTAAAATTTTTTATAGTAAGAATGTCTAATCAGCAGAAGAGAACCAGTGTTAGAATTCTGAGATGTGAAATAGGAGCCACAAGAAAGAATAGATTAGCATGCCTGTACAGCCTTGGAAAGGCTCAGGTTGGATTTTCATGAGACTCTGAGGACCCAGTTACCAAAATCCTAAGCTCCATGGCTCAGCCCAAGGATGGCATGTTGAAAATTCAAAACTAACCCTCCTCCCATTTTACAGAGGAGGAAATGGTGGCTCAGAGTGTGTGAGGGACTACAAGGACAGGGTCAATGTCTTGTTCATGTATGTATTTCCTGACCTCTGCTAGGACCTGCTGTTCAGCCTGCCAAGGACTGCCACAGAAATGGGGTTCATCGTGGAACTAGAAGGGGTCCATCAGGCCCTAGCCTCATGGGGACAGTTCTCATCCATTCCATCATTCATTCACCAGTCTGAGCACCTACTTTATGTCAGGCACTGTACAATGTTCATTCATAGTAGAGATAGTAATAATGATAATGGTAAATTTTTTGAATATTGAATTATTAATAGTATTAGAGGCCTGGCGCGGTGGCTCACACCTGTGATCCCAGCACTTTGGGAGGCTGAGGCAGGCGGATCACCTGAGGTCAGCAGTTCAAGACCAGCCTGACCAACATGGTGAAACCCTGTCTCTACTGAAAATACAAAAATTAGCTGGGCGTGGTGGCCGACGCCTGTAGTCCCAGCTACTTGGGAGGCTGAGGCAGGAGAATCGTTTGAACCCGGGAGGTGAGGTTGCAGTGAGCCGAGATCGTGCCATTGCACTCCAGCCGGGCAACAAGAGTGAAACTCCATCTAAAAAAAAAAAAGTATTAGAGAAGGGAGATGAATGGGAGTGACTCTTCAAAGGATTTTTTTCTATCAGCCACTGCTTTACAGTCTTGTGCAGTGTCCTAAGCAGGAATAAACAGAGTCCCACAGTGTCAGCCAAAGGCTTCAGGAATTGCAAAGCTCTAGAGACACCCTTCCTCTTGCCCCAAGCAGCAAGCAGGCCTTGTTAGCCTCAGGAACGCCGCTTGCTTGGGCAGCTTGGCCATTCAGCTGTCATCACTTCCCAAGTGGAAACCAAGGTTGTGCACGTCTGGTGTAGCCAGAGTGGCAATTGCTGATGGCCCCTGTAGAAAATACATCCCTTGCCCTCTAAGCACATCTGACTTTGACTTGGCCAGGGGTGTGGAGGTTCCTCAACAGGAAGGATCAGTGAGCACCAAGCACCAAGAGGACTTGGGCTCCATCCCCTTAACAAAATCAGGGCTGCAGCCATGTCCTCACAAGGCAGAGACAGAGCCTGTGTGAGCCATATTTGCCAGGCCTTGGGGGTTTTGCAGCAGATGTGGGCATGAGAGGCAGAGTGAGGTGTAAGATAGAGCAGGGCTGGATGTCGGGAGAAAGGAGATCTTCCCCCAGCTCTGCCACCGGCAGCACATGGGGCCTGTGCTCATCCCTCTGCTCATCCTGTTGGCCCTGAGTTCAAGCTCTGTTAAGCGGGGATATTGCCATCCTTGTTCCTCACAGGGCTGCTCGCAGTGAGCAAACAAGATCACATAGGAGGTGACATTTTATAAAGTATAAACTGCCATTTGGGCTGGGATGTTTTGTGAGATGAAATAAAAGGGCCTTTTCACCATTCAAACCAATTATGATTTTTATTTTTATTTTATTTTATTTTATTTTATTTTTCAAGACAGAGTCTTACTCTGTCACCCAGGCTAGAGTGCAATAGCATAATCTCGGCTCACTGCAACCTCCAACTCCCGGGTTCAAGTGATTCTCTTGTCTCAGCCTCCCGAGTAGCTGGGATTACAGGCCTGTACCACCACACCTGGCTAATTTGTGTATTTTTAGTAGAAACGGGGTTTCACCATGTTGGCCAGGCTGGTCCCGAACTCCCGACCTCAGGTGATCCACATGCCTCGGCCTCCCAGAGTGCTGGGATTACAAGTGTGAGCCACTGCACCCAGCCTTAGATCAATTATTTTGTAACCTCCCATAGTTCTGTTGGGGCCACTTACTCCCCAAGTACTAAATCACCCAAAAGAGCTTTGGAAATGTAGCTAGTGGAAGGTGGTAGGTAGGATCCCTCTAGGGGGCAGGGAGGGGGCTGCCTGGCGCATGACAAATTTATTTTTCTACACTCATTCACCACTTATTTATTCAGCACCTACTATGTGGCAGGTACTATAGCAGGTGGTGGGGAAACAGACTTAAAGCAGACATGGTTCCTCTCTCAAGGAGCTCAAAGCCTGGATGTCTAAACACAGAAGCACAATCAAGCATTAGAATCGTAGTGCTCACTACCATGTCCGGCTCTGTCAACGGAATAGCCCATTTAATGCTCATAAGAACCTCAGGGAGAAGGCACTGTTATCCCCATTTTACAGAGAGGGAAACTGAGGCACAGAAAGGTTAAATGGCTTCTTAAGGTTGCCTGGCTAGTACCTGGACTGGGTGCAGACCCAGTTAGTCTGGTTCCAGAGCCCATTTGTAACCAGTTGGCTATGTACACCCCCACCACAGCTTAGGGAGCATGGGGCCAAATGGAATGGAGGGGAGACAAACACTGCAGAGGGTGTGAAAGATGAGAGGGCGCATTTCTCCAGAAAAGGTGGGAAAGAGCATTCCAGAGGGAACAGCATGGCTATGAAACCACCAGTCTATTTGGGGAAGCTGCTGGCAATTCGATATGGCCAGAGTCAGGGAGGAGGTCATAAGTTGAGGCAGGAGAAGCCGGCAGGGGCCAGAGCATGGAGGGGTTCCTTGCTTTGCCAAGAGGTTTAAATCCTCCTTCATCTTCCTCCCCCTGGGGCTGCCATTTGGTTGGTTAATCATCCCCACCATTGTCTCCCGTCCAGGTCTGTGGCTCAGGATATCCCCAAGCTGCAGAAACTAGGCATCACCCATGTTCTGAACGCGGCTGAGGGCAGGTCCTTCATGCACGTCAACACCAATGCCAACTTCTACAAGGACTCCGGCATCACATACCTGGGCATCAAGGCCAACGACACACAGGAGTTCAACCTCAGCGCTTACTTTGAAAGGGCTGCTGACTTCATCGACCAGGCTTTGGCTCAAAAGAATGGTAAGGGACCTCCCGCCAGGAAAAGATGGGAGGCAGCTTTGACTAGACTATCCCTCTGGAAAACAGGCCCACAACAGGTCTCTTCTTGGAAACCTCCTTGTTTCCCATCTTCTGGGGTGAATGACAGAGCTGTAGGTCTCTCTCTGCTCACCTGGCTGCCTGTCAAGTGGCCCCATGTGTCACAGGATGTGCAACTCATTCACACCGTGGCAGCCCCAGGGTCCTTGCATTTGATTGCACTTTGGCTGGAGGTTGGTTTCCAGTTGCTTACACATCCCCCATTCAAACAGCTGTAACGATGAGGAAGACGTGTTCATGTGTTCATGTGCATGGCAGGAAGTCCTGAGGTGAAAGAGCATAGGGGCTGGTTGATTCAGCAGTTCCGTGGTGGCATCTGGACCAGGCCCTTTCCCTTTCTCTCTTCTGCCACCTCAGTGTTGGGTGCTCCCGTCGTGGTCCCAAGATGGGATCCGGTCACCACATCCAAGCAGGACAAAGTACAGCAGATGAGGCACTGCAGCTATCTCTTCCCACCTTTTCTCTCTCTCTCTCTCTCTCTCTTTTTTTCTGAGACGGAGTCACACTCTTGTTGCCCAGGCTGGAGTGCAATGGCGCGATCTCGGCTCACCGCAACCTCCACCTCCTGGGTTCAAGTGATTCTCCTGCCTCAGCCTCTTGAGTAGCTGGGATTACAGGCATGTGCCACCACGCCCGGCTAATTTTGTATTTGTAGTAGAGATGGGGTTTCACCATGTTGATCAGGCTGGTCTCGAACTCCTGACCTCAGATGATCCGCCCACCTCGGCCTCCCAAAGTGCTGGGATTACAGGCATGAGCCACCGCACCCAGCCACTCTCTCTTTTTTAAAGAGACAGGGTCTTGCTACATTTTCTAGACTGGTCTCCAACTCCTGGCCTCAAGCAATCCTCTCACCTCAGCCTCCTGAATAGCTGGGACTACAAGCCCATGCCACCATGCCTGGTCTCTCTCTTTTTTTAAGAACAAGTAAAACATTTCCCAGAAATTCCCCTCACATCTCATTGGCTAGAGATTCATGTGACTGCCTGGCAAGGGGAAAAGGGGTAGCTGTGGTCGGCTTAGGTTGGCAGTCAGCAAACCACAGCCCCCCCAGCCAAATCTTCCAGCCACTTAAAAAACACTTTCTGCAGCCCCCAAAGGTAAGGTAAGACTGAAGGAGAACTACCAAGGTGCTGGCAGTCACCAAGGCGTTACAGCAAGAAACCCTAGAAGGCCACAAAGCAGACATCAGCTGAGCAGGCTGGGCCACTCGCCCTTTCTCCCTTTCTGCTTTTAGCTATTTCTCTCAGCTCCTCCCTTAGCCTCTTCCTCCCTCCCCGCCCCAAACCCTCCCAGCGGAGGGGACCCCCATGAGGTGTGATCAGCCTTGGCTCTACTACTCTGATGATTCTTGGGCCCAGCAGCCTCACCGTCTGAATTATTTCCAGTAAACACAATTTTCTAGACCACTGGACAGTGCACGCTCAGGGCTCAGAGAGAAGCTTTACTGTGGGAGTATCTGCAGACTTTGCTGACAGGCCCCTCATGGTCCTTCCCGGTCACTGTCACCCCCCACCCTGCCCACGCCCTCCACTCCAGCTGTACTGAGCTCCTGACCCTGTGTAGACATAGGCTGGGTGAAGGGGAAGGATTTTGTTGTTCTCATGTAATATCAATTGGTCATTCATTCAGGGAATTTCAAGCTCTCTGACTTTGTTTCCACTTCCCAAAACCTAGGAACATTCTCTTTTTTTGACCTCCTGTCTCAGTCCAGGTGTGCTGGGTCTTCAGTCTGAAAAGTTCTCTATGCCTCTCCCTACCCGGTCCTCTGGCAAACTCCACCTCGTCCTTGGCATGGTGTCCTCTCTTCCATGAAGCCTGCCCACAGGCTGGGTCCACTTTGTTCCTTGTCCGTCTCCTTAGCACATAGTAGGTACACCACAAATGATTAATGAGCAAGTGATGAAGAATTCCATGGGCTCTAATGCCAAGTATAAATGCTTCCAAGAATGAGTGGCTAAGTGAGTCAACAGAAACATGCTGGCCTCCGACAGGGAGTGGGGTCCAGGGACCCATCACTGAGAGCTAGGTGGGATGGCTGAGGATGCTCAAGAGGGAGAAGTCACTTCCAGCTGGGAAAACCAAGGGAGGCTTCATGGAGGAGGTGGCATCTGGGCTGGGCTTAGAGGAATGGGAGGTTGAACTGGCCCCTTTCCCAGTAGGCTCTGTGTGCACTGGGCATGCAAAGTATGTTCTAGATGGTGAGGTGGCTGCTCTGCAGAGGGTCTCATTCCTAGGGTGGGGCAGGGGAAGCCCCATTCTGAATATTTTGGGCATACAGGCCAGAGGGTGAATGGGCAAGAAAGTAGAGGACTCCTGCTTCCTGATTTGGAAGGCATTGAGAAAATAGAGTGGTGTTTTGCAGGTAGGGTGATGGGAGCAGAAGAGACTCTGTTGGACTCTGGGCTAGCAGATTCCTTGCCAAACAATGCCCTTATAGAGGTGTTAGTAGGTAATAATTCACTCAGCTAGTCAGGAAATATTTATTGAGCACAAGGTGTATGCTAGAGATTGTAACACATCCAAAAATCAATGCCCCACATTTCTTGCCTTTGTTTTTTTTTTTTTTTTTTTTGAGATGGAGTCTGGCTCTTGTCACCCAGGCTGGAGTGCAGTGGCGCAATCTAAGCTCACTGCAACCTCCACCTCCCAGGTTCAAGTGATTCTCCTGCCTCAGCCTCCTGAGTAACTGGGATTACAGGCATGTGCCACCACGCCCAGCTAATTTTTGTATTTTTAGTAGAGACGGGGTTTTGCCTTGTTGGCCAGGATGGTCTCGAACTCCTGACCTCAGGTGATCCACCCACCTCGGCCTCCCAAAGTGCTGGGATTACAGGTGTGAGCCACCGTACCCAGCCATTTCTTGCTCTTAAGGAATTCGTCCTCTGGGAGAGAAAGTCGATCTGCGCATGTCTGGCAATGACACGGGACCAGGGCTGCTGTAGCTGAGGGTGTACCAGGTGCCACCAGAGGATGCCCAGTATTGGGTAACATTTATTGAGTGCTCATGGATGCCAGGTGCTAACCTAGAGGATTCATGTGTCATCTCCTTTAATCTTCTAACCACCTTGTGCAATGGGTACTATTGGCCAGATAAGAAAACCGAGGCACCTTGAGGTAGGTAGATCATGAGTTAATAACCAGTGTATTGGTCAGGATTCTCTAGAAAAAACAGGACCAATAGAATATACAGTGGTCCTCCGCATCTATGTATGGGAACTGGTCTGGGTGCTGTGGCTTTACAGGTTACCTTGTGCCATACGTGTGAAACAAGGGCCTTCTGATGGCCAACCCACCCTTAATGCTGGCCAGTCTATTTTACACAAAGTTTTAAGTTTTCCTGGCGTCAGAGTACTCCATAGTCTCCCTTAAATCCTGTCTTGAAAATTTTCAACATAGTTCCTAGCAGGGTGGGCTTATTTGTGCCTGACCCATGCTTCTTCGAGACAAAACACCACGCTTACACCACACACACACCACAAAACAAAGAACAGGTAAAAGGGCACACACACACTTGCAGTGTATGTGCACAGTGTATGTGGGTTCCACATCTGTGGATTCAACCAACCGCAGACTGAAAATATTAAAAACAACATAAAAAAAGTTATGTCTGTACTGAACATGTACAGACTTTTTTCCTTGTTATTCTCTAGATGATATAGTCTAATAACTGTTTACATTGTCTTGGGTATCATAAGTCATCTGGAGATGATTTAAAGTATAGGGGAGGATGTGCAGAGGTTATTTGCATATATGATGTCATTTTATAATCAGGAACTTGAGCATCTGTGGATTTGGATATCTGCAGGAGGTCCTGGAACCAATCTCCCCTGTGGATATTGACAGATGGTGTCTATTTTATATATATATATATATATATATATACACACACACACACACACTATATTAAAATATGTTATATATATTTTTTAATAAAAATAAACCTGTATATAAATACATAATATATAATATATATTATAAATATATAAATACATAATTATATGTAATCTATTTTACATAATTATGTTTTAAATTTAAATTTAATTGTATATAATATTAATATATTTTATATAATATAAATATATAATTATATTAAATATTTTATTTAATATAATTATATCTAATATATGATATAATTTTATCATTCATAATTTTATATAATATAATATATAATTATATAATTATATAGTTATGTGTTTTATATTTACATATAAGATATATGTTATATGTAGTCTCTATATATTACATATATTTACATAATATATAGTTTATATGTATATTAATATTTTTTTTTAAGACAGAGTCTTGCTCTGTCACCCAGGCTGGAATGTAGTGGCGCAATCTTGGCTCACTGCAGCCTTGACCTCCCAGGCTCAAGGGATCCTCCTGCCTTGGCCTCCAGGTAGCTGGGACTACAAGCATGCGTCACCACCCTGGCTATTTCTTTTTTTTTTTTTTTTTGAGAGATGGCATCTTACTATGTTGACCAGGTTTGTCTTGAACTCCTGGCCTCAAGTGATTCTCCAGCCTCTGCCTCCCAAAGCATTGGGATTACAGGTGTGAGCCACCGCACCTGGCCATATATTATTTTATATATATTTATTATATTGATTTATATATACATATATGATTTATTTTAAGGGATTGACTCATATGCTTCTCAGAGCTGGGAAGTCTGAAGTGAGGCAAGCTAGCAGGCTGGAAACTTTGGCAGGATTTCTGTGTAACAGTCGAGGTGTAATATGTCTTCTCCAGGAAACCTCAATCTTTGTCCATTAGGTCTTCAACTGTTTTGATGAGGCCCACCCACATTATCAAGGGTGGTCCCCTTTTACTTAAAGTCAACTGTCTGTAGATGCTAATTACAGCTACAGAATACCTTCACAGCAATATCTAGATGAGTGTTTGATCAAGTGACTGGGCATTGTGCATTAGCCAAATGGATGCATTTTACCATTACAATCAGTCAGTCAAATTTAAACCTGGGTTCATATGGCTTCAACAATGTGGGGTTTTTTTCTTTTTTCTTTTTTTTTTTTTGAGACAGAGTCTCACTCTGTTGCCCAGGCTGGAGTGCAGTGGTGCGATCTCGGCTCACCTCAACCTCCGCCTCCTGGGTTAAAGCAATTCTCCTGCCTCAGCCTCCCAAGTAGCTGGGACTACAGGCGCACGCTGCCATGCCTGGCCAATTTTTTGTATTTCAGTAAAGATGGGGTTTCACCGTGTTGCCTAGGCTGGTCGTGAACTCCTGAGTTCAGGCAATCCGCCTGCCTCAGCCTCCCAAAGTGTTGGGATTACAGGCGTGAGCCACCACGCCTGGCCTTTTTTTTTTTTTTTTTTTGAGACGGAGTCTCGCCCTGTCACCCAGGCTGGAGTGCAATGGCTCAATCTGAGTTCACTGCAACCTCCGCCTCCTGGGTTCAAGCAATTATCCTGCCTCATCCTTCCGAGTAGCTGGGATTACAGGCGCACGCCACCATGCCTGGCTAATTTTTTTGTATCTTTAGTAGAGATGGGGTTTCGCTATGTTGGCCAGGTTGGTCTCGAACTCCTGACCTCGTGATCCACTTGCCTCGGCCTCCCAAAGTGCTGGGATTACAGGCATAAGCCACCGCACCCGGCCCCTTGCAGGCTTCTGACAGCACAGATGGGTTTCACCCACTTTCCTACTCTGTGGGCTCGTCCACCTCATATCTGTGTGCTGCCTCCATGTTGCTTCTGCTAAGTGGTGGGCTGGTCATTCTTTGTATTTATCTTTCTACTGTGGATGGGCCTTTGGGGGTTTCTAGCTGGGGTCCATGATGTACAGTGCTGCCTATGAACATTCTGACCCATGTTTGTGAAAGTGAATGCATATCTCTATTGGACCTGGGCCTGGGAGTGGGATTGCTGGGCCAGAGGGGATGCACGTGTTCAGTTTGAGGAGATGCCGCCTTGCCACACAACTTTCCAAAGTGGTTGTTCCAATTCACACCCCACCTCCCCCAGCCATGCAGAAGAGCTCCAGTTGCCCCGTATCTTCACCAGCACTTTGGGTTTTCCATCCTTTTCATTTTAGCCATTCTGGCGGGCACACAGTGGCGTGACATTGTGGTTTTAAGTGGCACTTCACGGAAGAGTCTTGACCGATGCCATGGTGTGATGGGACGCCCCCAGCTCACCGCGTCTCCCCTGTTTCTTACAGGCCGGGTGCTCGTCCACTGCCGGGAAGGTTACAGCCGCTCTCCAACGCTAGTTATTGCCTACCTCATGATGCGGCAGAAGATGGATGTCAAGTCTGCCCTGAGCATCGTGAGGCAGAACCGTGAGATTGGCCCCAACGATGGCTTCCTGGCCCAGCTGTGCCAGCTCAATGACAGACTAGCCAAGGAGGGGAAGTTGAAACCCTAGGGCATCCCCGCTGCCTCTGCTTAGAGGTCTACGGGGGAGGCCGTGGGCAACGATGTCCCGAGCTGCCATGTTTAGGAAACACACTGTACCCTGCTCCCAACATCACAAGGCACTTGTCTACAAGTCTGTCTCAACACAGTCCTGGGCCACTTTCCCCACCCTGGGGAGTACACAAAGAAGCTTGCCAAGGGGGGCGTCCTCGCTCCCCAGTTGTCCTGTTTCTGTAACTTTCGATGTCTTTTCCCTAGGATGGGGGCTCAGAGGGGGAAGGCCTGTGGCCTGCATGCTTCCCGATGGCCCAGGGCAGGAGGTGTGTGGAAGCGTAAGGCCTAGGATGCTCATAGAGGTCCCTCATGACCTCCCTTCCCCTACTCCCAAATCCTCTCTTGAGTGGGGACCTCAACACCTTGAGCTCTAGTAAAGGAACTATGCAAATGCAGGCCACTCTCCCCGCCACGTCTGTGCCCCCCACTGTCCCCACAGCCTTCCACACCCTGTACATAGGCAGAGCTCTCACGTCTTGAGGTCCGGAGCTGGGGCAGGGGTGTCTGTCAGTCATTAGTGGATGGAGATTCCCATAGCAAGGCTGCATTGAATGATTTCCTTAGGAAGAATGGTCCCTACACAAAGAGGCCTTGTGTGGGCAAACCTGGAGAACCCTCCTAAATCCACAGAGTTTTCAAAATGTGAATCTTTGGAAGCCTTGAGTTCAGAATCTGCTGCTCTGGAATATTTCGCTTTGACCTTATCTCAGTCACTTCATTTTTGAGAAGAGCGATGCCTTGGGCATGCTTTCTTTTTTTTTCTCTCTCTTTTAGAAAACAGGGTGTTGAAGTCCAACCTATTTAAAAACCCCACCATTTGGAGAATTACAAGGGTTTTGTCCTGAATTACAGCGCTGGCAAGCCCAAGCCACTCGTGCTAACTGCTTTTTGTCTTGGTTGCTATTCCAAGAACAGAAGGAGGAAGTTGGCCAATTACAGCATGTGTGCATGGGTGTGTGTGGGGGGTGCCTCTCAGAAATGCGGCCAGAAGACAGCAGGGAAGTGAAAAGTCCCAGGCACACACCCTGCCCATTGCAGGTGGCTCTTAGAGCTCTCTGGTGCCAGCATGGGATTCCTGAAGTGACTCAGCCAGGTAGACACAAGACATGGCGGAGTATCCAAATGGATCCTTTACTGGTGGTAGAGCAAAAAAACCCAAACGCAGTCAGCCTTTCAAAAGACTTTCTAAGGATGATATTGGAATGCACTACCCCTCACATGTGTATGCACATTTGCCAGAATATAAGAGTTTTGTTTTAAACACAGTCTTGTTAGGATTTTACATTATTATTATTATGGAAAGTGATTGTGATGCTATTTATCTTCAGGGTCACTCTGGGCAAAGAGAAGGTCCTCAGCCATGCCCCCAGCACCTTGCACATAGTTGTCTGATAAAAGTTTAAGAAATTAAATGCTTTTTGAGCACCAAATATACATAGGGCATTGTTCTGGTGGGTGTTTCACGCTCCCAGAAGCCTGAATTCATGGTAGGATCACTTGCAAGGCCTTGTGAAGGTATCTTACCTAAAATGAAATATCAGGGACTTTTGTTGACTATTTACAACTCAGTTTTACATTTAAATTCAGGCAGTGTTAATATGCCAAGGTGGGGAATGTGCCTTTTTCAGAGTTGGCCAGGAGCTCCTGGCTGGGACACGGAGAAGCAGGTGTGGTGTAAGGCCTCACTCCCGGCTATGAAGGTCTCTGATCACACAGGAGCAGTCCTGCCCAGCCTGGTCATTTGCTGTCCACTTTTCTCTGTGACCACAGCAGCCCTGAACAACTAGGATGTGTCTTCTTCTCCAGATAGTGAAAAAGGTGTCCAGATAAACCCACCTAAGTGAAATGGCCATCCTCTAAACTGGGTACCTCACTGCACAGCTTCCAGGTAGCCTTCCAACTTAATCTAACTTGAGCCTCACAATAACCCTGTAAAGTTAGTAGAGCTTGTTCTTGTATTGTGGCCTTTATTAAAAAAGGAATTGAGGTTCAGAATGATTAAGGGCATGGCCCCCAGGGTTGTCCAGCTCTATAAGGTGGAGCTGGGTAAGATTTTGGGTTTGCTGCTCCCTGAAGCTGGATTCTTTCATATGATACTCTTTTGCAAGAAAAGGGCTCCCTGGGATTTCCAGGTGTACTGCACATGCCCTTGATCCAGCTCCGGAGAAGCAAGTAAAAAGGGTGGGTCCCTCATAGGCTAGAATGTGCAGCTCTTTCTCCAGGTGGGATGTAGTACCCCTAAGTAGAGCTTTCTGCTCTGCTCCTGGAAGAGGCTAGGGAGCTGGGGCTGGGGCTCCCCTCCCATGCCCAGGAAGTGGTCACCCCATGGGACAGGCACAGCTACTTACGTGAACACAGCAGGTTGGTGTGGCTGGCTAACTAGGACCTCTCGAAAGCCTCTGTGGGGGCATGAGGGAGAAAAGGCCACTGGGAGAATCACTGCCTTTACTTTGGAACTACTTTTATGCTGATAACTTGGGATTTCTTGATAGTCCTTCACCCCCAAAACCCCGTATTTACTTAACGAGATTTAGCTCCTAGTTCTTCAAGTAAAATAAAAGTCTCTTGTGTAAGAGCCAACACATGCCCAGTTGTGGATGGGAGCTGTTCCTGGACAGCCTTCTACCGCCTGGGAAGTGTTGGAACAGGAACTCAGGGTGCCCTTACCCCCTCCCCAGACCTGATCCCTTTCTTTGACAGAGCACCATCCAGGCAAAATTAGAGCGCCAAATGGTTTTCTTCTCAATCTTAAAGCAGTATACCGTTCCACAGGCTGGTCTGTGTCCCTGCCACTCTGAGTTATCCAGAAACCACCACCTACAAATGAGGGGACTCGTCTAGAAGACCTCTAAGGTCCCTTTTGGCTCTGAGGGGTCTCTAATAATCCCCACTTGGAATTAAGCACCGCAAGGAAATTATGGGTATGTGAGTCATAATGTGATGGCCAGCAGGTGGCGCTGCCTTCCACCCATGGTGATGGATGGTTCGGAAAGGGAATGTTGGGGCCTTTTGTGCCACAAGTTAAGATGCTACTGTTTTAATAAAAATAAATAAAGCACTGATCTTCAATTTGAAGACATGAGCTTTTCTCGCAGGAAATTTTCTTTTTCACAGAACTGGTGTCAGGAATCACTGAAGGGCTAACAGTGATGGTCCTTCCAAGTCAAGGTTTTAACCTGATTGGAAATAGAAGACATTTCAGGTTGAGAGAACAGATTGGTTGGAAGCTTAAATTTTGTTGCCTCTTAACTCCGCCAGATTTTAGGGTAATTTGATTGTGAAAGAGTGAATTTTCTGGACAGAAAAGGGAGAGCTACCAAATTGTTTTTTTATTTTTTAAAGGAAGTTTAATGTCCATTGTATCACAAATCAGTGTTAAAACACCAAAACTGTAGCCAAAATAAATGTCTTACATTACAAAGGTATTGTTTTTTTTTTTGTCCTTCTTATCACAGTTGATTTTCTTTTATGTTTTTATGCTTAGCTTTTTTCGTGAGGGCTTAGCTTTTATATTTGCTTTTTCTAACTTTTTAAAAATAATCATCTTTAAAACATAGCTGTTCTGAGCTAGTTATAGGTTCCATGATGGTCCTGTTTATGCAGTAGATATTGATGAACATCTCTCCAGTACCAGAAATGTTCTGTTAGGAATATTCTTAGGTAGAATGGCCCACCTGGATGAAGGAGGTAAGATTTGTACTCCTAAGACAGTAGGGGACTAGGGTGTTCATCTCAAGGTAGCCTCACGTGATGACTGGGTGGCATTTTGGGATTTGAGTGATCCTGCAAATGAACAGTCCCTAAACATATCCCCTTCCCCCAGATGCCTTAAATTCCACTATTGGTGTTATGTTCCTTTGAATAAAAAACCTTAGAGAAAGTGGGTGCCTTTTCTCCCAGACAGAAGTCTGGGCAGAGAAAGCCCCTTGAGGTTCCTGTTGCCTCTATCATATGAAGCAATTGGACTCGTTCACTATTTGTCAAACCTCTGACAACATAATCTTTATGGTTCTACACAAAATCTAAAGGCAGAGCACTAAAATATAAAACAGGTAAAAGTGTTTTTAAGTATAATTTTAAAAATTTTTCATTAAAAATAATATGATATGTATATAGTAATACACTTAAACAATGCAAAAGGCTTATGTGGAAAAGTGAGTCACTTGCTCCTTCAATTTCTCTCCCCATAAGCATATCCTTACAGGAAAATCTCAAGCATATATAAGCACACACATGTGCACACATGTGTATATACAGAGATATCTCTGCTTTGTTGTTTGTTTTGCTTAGCTTACATTTTAGTTATTGTTTTTATCGTTCTACCCCATTCATCTTAACAGCTACATGGCCTCCATTGTGTATGGATGTGCAAATAAAGACAAGGTGATCTGGACATCCCTCAATGCAGGCTACTGCCTAAAAGCAGAAGTTTTCCCTCCCAATCCAGATACTTCCTTTTTACCACCTACCAGTGGGAGCAAAATCTGTCTTAAAATGCAGCCAATAAGGAGAATCCTCAGTTTCTATTAATTAGAGATAGGGGCCTCCTCCAGAACCAAGTAGAGAATTAAACAAGATGACCTTTGAGATTCCTTCCAGATCAAAGATTCTATGATCCCAAGGAGTCAAAGGAACGTAATATGCTTTCCAAATTTGGCCTGTCATTCAAAGTCTGGTCCAAATGTCACAATTTTTTTTTTTTTTTTTTTTTTTTTTTTTTTTAGACGGAGTCTCGCTCTGTCGCCCAGGCTGGAGTGCAGTGGCCGGATCTCAGCTCACTGCAAGCTCTGCCTCCGGGGTTTACGCCATTCTCCTGCCTCAGTCTCCTGAGTAGCTGGGACTACAGGTGCCCACCACCTCACCTGGCTAGTTTTTTGTATTTTTTAGTAGAGACAGGGTTTCACCGGGTTAGCCAGGATGGTCTCAATCTCCTGACCTCGTGATCCGCCCGTCTCGGCCTCCCAAAGTGCTGGGATTACAGGCTTGAGCCACCACGCCCGGCCCAAATGTCACATCTTACCATAAGTATCCCAGACCCTCCCCAGGGAAAGAGATTGTTCTCTCCTTTGAAGGCCCATAAGAAAATTGTCCTTTTAAA